TACACCTGTTAAATTTAAACTAGAAGGGGTTGGAGGTTGTGTGGAGACATAGCTGAATTAATCAAAAGAGTGAAATTTTTAAAATTTAGCAGAACTGTTTCTTTGGAGTAAACACAGCAATGAGGCTGTCAGCTGACTGTCTTGCTTATACAGAGATTCTGTTTTAATAACTGGGTATGGATGACAGGTAATGAGCACATCACAAGTCTAAGCTGAGCTGTTCCATCCAACTCTACATCAGTGGTATCTAAAGCTAGCCAGCTTCCAACTTGTTTGTGATTTTCAGAAGTTCTAATTATGGTGTTACTGTAATTGTGAAAAACCTCCAGAAAATAGAAAGTGGAGGCCTGGCAGGAAACTGCATCAGAGACTTTCGATGGAGCCCAAAACAGGAACATTCCCTTTCTTTCTACCTCCTTGTCTCCCCCATCATCATGGACTGTAAAAAGAAAAGGGGAGATAGTCATGCTAAGGACATAACATATAAAAGTCCTTGGATTTACTGGGAATCTTGATCTCCATATGCAATACTCAGTTTTATCTGTTTGCTTTCTGGCCATTAAATTCCTTTTCTCAAATCTGTATTGAAAGTGTTTACAGTCGAGGAACACTTGGCTGCTCAGTGGCATTCATTCTTGCATGGGCTCAGTGGGGCCCTGTGCCAAAGGAAGTTCAAGGCAATAAAACAATTCCTCAAGCCCTTGCAGCTGAGTCATTATTATCCAAGAATCAGGCTATTCATGAAAGAACTTACCTTCTGAATCCTAGTCATGTACTGACAACCCCTTTCACAAAGTGATGGCTATTCCTAGTAAATAAGGGAAAGGAACTGACATCTGAGCACCTGCAGTGTGTTTTACATGTTTCCACATTCTTACAATAGGCCTTAAGAAATGTATTACCTCACTTCACAAATAACGGAACAAATTCTGAGAAATGACCAAAGTTGCTTTAAGGTCATACGGCCAGAAGACTGTTCTGTCTAAACTCAAAGGTCAAGTCCATTCCACTGTGCTCTGCTCTTTCCCCAATCTAAGAAGAGGCAGAGGACGCCCAAATCTCCATTCAGAGTAAAACTATATAATAAAATCCAATGCCCTTTAGATATGAAGAGAGTTGGCCTTAATATAATGCCATATTATGCCTCTGTGTATTTCATCTGCAAAATCCACTGGGTATCCTTCACTTCAAAGAGTCAGAAAGTATCTCTGTGATTAACTCTAGGGTGGGTGTTTAAGAAATGCAGTTGATGATGACTGTGGGAACATTTGCTTCACAGCCATCAAACCAGACCTAATCCCAGCTTCACTGCACTGAGACAGTCAGGTGCCGAAAGAAGTGATGACAGGGGACCCTGGCAGATGTTACGACATGTTAACAAGGGAGGCTGCAGGCCAAGAAAGAGTCATAAAGTGTCTGAAGCATACATTGAAGTATAATTTCAAGTCATCTAACATTGTTGACTGAAAGAGGCTGTCAGAAAAGTCACCCAGTTTTGACCGAAAGAGCCACAGGGACAAAACAGCTGAGCTCCCAATAGGATCTGGTTTTGTCATCAATAACTTCATTGTCATCCAGCTCAGCATTAGGGCTGGCTTTCACATGTAGGGAGGATCGTGTAAGACAGAACATTAGGTCATGGTCATTTTGCCAGAGCCAGTCAAGTGTGTTATACATTTAGAAGAAGAGGAATTTCTGGGCCCTGCCACGTGAATGGACCATAGGACAACCTAGGGTCAATCAGAATGACAATGTCTTGGTTTTACTTACCCTACATGGAAATTGTTTCTAGCACTACGTATGTGACATTTTTATACCATTCAACTTGGAAAAGTGTCACCAGCAGAGTATTTTCATCATATTCACAGAGGTGAATATTAAAGACCTGCCTGTTTATGATGATTCACATACATTACGGTACATTTTAGCAATATGAGTTATCTCCCAAATATGCTGATCAAAAAATGCAATGGTGTACTGAAAGGGCCAAAGAATAAATGTGTCGAAATATAAATATGTTCTGCACAGCTACCATCAACAAAACAAAAATACAACCTACAGAATGGGAGAAAACATTTGCAAATGATGTGACTGACAAGGGACTAATTTCCAAAATACACAAATAGCTCATTCACCTTAATATCAAAAACAAAACAGAAACAAAAACAAAAAACCCAAGCGACTCAATCCAAAAAAGGACAGAAGACCTAAATAGACATTTCTCCAAAGAAGATATCCAGATAGTCAACAAGCACATAAAAAGATACTCAACATCACTAACTGTTAAGAGAAATGCAAATCAAAACTACAATCACCTCACACCAGTCAGAATGGCTGCTATTAAAGAGTCTGCCATAGACAACAAGCTTATGGTTACCAGGTGGGGAAGGGGGAGGGAAGAGATAAACTGGGAGTTTGAGATTTGCAGATACTGATTGGTATATATAAAATAGATAAACAAGTTTCTAGCACAGGGAACTATATTGGATATCTTGTAGTAGCTTATGGTGAAAAAGAATATGAAAAAAATATGTATGTTCATGTATGACTGAAACAGTGTGCTGTACACCAGAAATTTACACAACATTGTAAACTGACTATACTTCAATCAAAAAATAAAATAAAATAAAAAATAAAAATAAAAAAATAAGAAGTCCACAAGCAATAAATGCTGGAAAGGATGTGGAGAAAAGGGAACCCTCCTACACTGTTGGTGGGAATGTACATTGGTGCAGTCACTGTGGAGGACAGTATGGAGGTTCCTCAAAAAACTAAAAACAGACTTACCATATGATCCAGCAATCCCACTCTTGGGCATATATTCAGAGGAAAATATAATTTGAAAAGACACATGTACCCCAATGTTCACAGCAGCACTATTTACAATAGCCAAGACATGGAAACAACTCAAATGTCCTTTATCAGATGAAGATATGGATAAAGATCTTAAAGAAGATGTGGTACACACACACACACACACACACACACACACACACACACAATGGAGTACTACTCAGCCATAAAAAATAATAAAATAATGCCATTTGCAGCAACATGGATGGACCTGGAGACTGTCATTCTAAGTGAAGTAAGTCAAAAGGAGGAAAAATACCATATGGTATCACTTATATATGGAATCTAAAAAAAGGACACAAATGAACTTAACGGCAAAACAGAAACAGACTTACAGACGTAGAGAACAAACTTATGGTTACTGGGGGTAAAGAGGGTGGGAAAGGATAAACTGGGAATTTGAAATTTACACCTCTTGAAGGGTGATGGAAATGTTAGCTATCTTGACTGTGGTGGTGTTTTCACTGGTGTGTACATCTATCAAAATGATCAAACTGCACATCTGAAATATGTGTAAGTTTACTGCACAGGAATCTTACCATAATAAAGCTGTTAAAAAATATATATATAAAATATGTAAAAATAAATATTATATATATATATATTATATATATATATATGTAAAAACAGAAAGATTTCTTTTTCCAAAAACTGAAGGACATGCAAACATCATTTGAAAATTTGGGGTAAAAGTTCACTATCACACTGATAAACAAAGATGTACAAAATAAAACTGCAATGAGTTCACTTTTTTTGCTTCTAATATTTAAAAAAAATCACAATATTGAATGCAACAAAGGGTAGCGTGAGATGGGCTTTCTCATATGCAGCTGATAAAAATATAAATTGCCATGAGCTCGCTGGAAAATAACTTACCAATAGATTTCAAAAATCTTAAAATGTTCGTATGCCTCTGAAAGTACAGTGGTATCAGAAACCCCAGGGGTAGGGCCAAGCAATCTGTGTTTTGACAAGCTATCCAAGTCATTGTGATGCACATTTAAGATTGAGAACCACTGCCCTATGGACTCTCTCCCACTCTCATGGCTTAATGACCATCTGTAGAAAGATTAGTCCTAAATCTACATCTGTACCTTATATGTCTTTTCTGAATTCCAAACCCATATAACCAACTACTCACTTGGCATTTGCCTTTTGATATCACATAGATATTTCAAAACAAACATGTTTAACATTAGATTCAGATATTTCTCCCCCAAATATTCTCTACCTCCAGAGATCCCAATCTCCATAAATGGCACTATCACTTCTACTCAAGAAATCTAAGTGTCATCCTTGATTCCTCCCACCCTCTTCTACTAGGACTGTTGTCTTATAAGAGGAGGAAGAGAAGAGGCGAGGACACAGTGAAAAGGTAGTCATCTGAAAGCCCAGGAGAGAGCTCTCACCAGAAACTAACCCTGGTGGACCTTGATCTGGGACTTCCAGCTTCCACAATTGTGAGAAAGTAAACTTCTGTTGTTTAAGCCACCCAGTGTTTATTATATATTTTATTATGGCAGCCTGAGCCAACTAAAACAGGTAGCTACAAACTGTCCACTTCCTTTCATCCCACTGCTACCATCCTTGTACAGACCGCCTTCATCTCTTGCCTAGACTACTGCAACATCCTTCTAGGTGAGTCTCACCTCCTTCAAATCATTCCTTGTGCTCAGCTAGAGAGGGATATCATCAAGACAGGTTTTTATTTCAAATCCTTCAGTGGCTTCCCATTATCTTTCATATAATGCCCAAACACTTAACATATATATATGTAAGGACGATATAAAAAATATTAACTGAGGGACTCCAACCCCACCCCGATATACTGATCCCTTGTCCCTCCTCTAGACACTTGCTTCCTCAGTGTTGGCATTGCCTCACCAGCACTCGCAAGGTCAGCCTGCTCTTATGTGTCACTTTCTGGCCATGAGGGAAAATACCTAACTGCTCTTCACAGCCCACTGGGGATTCTGGGGATCATCTTTATCTGTGAGGCTGTGCCCACGTCCTTTTCTGTGGCACCCTATGCAAGCCCTGTACCGTATTCTCATTCAGCAACTATCCTGCCACAATTTTTCTAATGCCTGGCCTGTTACTTTTTTGGCTTAGACTTAAAAGTAAAAAATTTGAAGTTTTTGTTATTGGTTTTCTTTATGGTACCTTCTCCACATCTTGGGGGAATACCTCTTTGCTCACAGCCCAAGTGGTGGAGTGTTGAAGGTGAATGCAGTACTGGCATTAAAAACACATCAATTAATACTTCACAAATTACCCTGTAGCATTGGCTAGAAAGTCTTGTACTCTTGGCCTCTACAAATAGAATAGCTCACTGGTCTCTCTACCTTTGTTGGGGAAAACCCATGCTGACTTAGTTTCTCAAATAGACTATACATAATTTTCCATATAAAGGCTTAAATAGATTATCATACTGTCTCCCACCTTGGGGCCTTTGTACACAGTGGCCCATCTACCTGGAATACTTTTTGCTCTTCCCTTTACATATTCAACTTTTGTGCCTCAATTTAAACGTCATTTCCTTAGGAAGAACGTCTCTGACCACCTTCACACAAGGTTAGGCCTCTTGCCATACATTCCCAGCATACTTAGAATTTCTTTCAACTTGTAATTTTTTGCACTTACAATTACTTACAATTATTTGTTTAGTATCCATCCTCCCTGCTAGGCTATAAATTCCATGTATCTTTTTCTCTAATGCACTCTCAGTATCTAGAGCATGCTAAGTGTTCAATGAATATTTATGACGGGCCCACTAAAAGTCAAATCATTATTGGCTAGGTTTCAGAATTAGGGTTCTGGTACTCTGTCTGTTTATAGTATCCTCCTATTGCAAAACATGCTGGGTTTTTTTTTCAAAAAGTGTTCCATTTGCAATTACTTTTCTGAATGAATCAGAATTTTATCAAGATTACTGTGGGAAGACATTTGTTTGCTCACATACAACCATCACCCTTATACCCTAGTTTAAAATTTTTATCTCCATCGGAATAATCTCATTGTTCTTATGAAACCCAGGCAACAACTTTAGAATGGATAAATGATATATATTTGAATGCAATCAAATACAGCTTCATTTCTGAAATATTATTTCTGTGTAAGATTTCACTTGAAGGGAGAGCTTGAAAGCCACTTTTAAACAATGGCTTTGAGTCTTAGAGAAGAAACAGAACTTCTACAATAGGTTGGACGAAGCCTGGACAGAGATGTGTGAGACATCTGTGGGAATAGTATTACTTCATCCTACTTAGTTTGTGGCTGACTGAAGCATTTACACTTGTAGTTTCCATTTTTATTCTCTTCTCTTACTCTTATCCTACATAATTTTTCCTTCTCCCATTTACACAACTAAGATATGTTTGTCAGCAGGCCGGAGGGAAGGGAAGGAAGCATGGTGGGAAAGGGGGAGGAGAGCCCTAAGGGAAAAAGCTGGGCCTCAAGCACCTCCTAAGCTACGTATAACACAGATTATCCCACCATGAATCTTCTCACTTTTCCTCTTATGCAACCCAGCGGAAAATACAAAATATACTTGACTCTATGGCATATTGGGAATGACACCCACAGATGTATGTCATCTTCAGGACAAGCATGTTGCACCACATTAAAGAAATAATTTAGGTGCAGCAATGATCCTCTGAAGTCGACTCAATAGAGAATCCATCTCACTGATTAACCTCAAGACCTGAGTCATCAAGCCATTACAAGCTGTCAACAATATATAATCTTCTGGATGTCAAACCCAACATGTCTCAAGTGGAACTCATTATTTCCTCCACAAACTGGCTTCCCTTCTTAATTTCCTTTTTGAATCTATTCTCCAATCATAATCCTACTCAACCAAATTTACAACCTAGGGGGGCTACCTTTACTGCCCTCTTTTCTCAACCTCCATAGTACAGGGACGAGGGAAGGAGCTAGGACCTATTACTACACTAAAGTAGGTTAGGCACTGACATCAGAGAGTTGTCAAGGTGTAATACAAGGCCAGGCTGGGTCAGAGTGCCCTGTTGCATTCGTTTAAAATGCAGACTTCGAGCCACACCTGAGACCTACTGAATCAGGGTTGGGTTGGGGAATCTGTTAATTCTTCAGGGAACTTCTTAGGTCAACTAAGCAGAATCAATGCTCTAAAAGAAATGATCCAAATACAAAAAGACACACTGTGGAAGAGTAGCTAGGTGAGTAAGGCCCCCTGTCCAAAGGGCTAAGAGGAAGTAAAGGTTGAGTGGAACATAGAGGCAGAAAAATGGAGCAAACAGCCTGTAAAGGTTCAACACTTTCGGAGTCACCTTTTAGATCTGTTCAGGAATAGCCTTCACCAGGATAGGTCAGGAGAGACTCTGGTTTACCAAAAAGAGAACCAACTGGAACAAGTCATGTCAGAGACTAATTCTGAGAATTAAAACACACAGGAGAGGAATATTAGCAACTCAGGCAACAACGTAGCATTCCAGGGTCATCAATGGCCCATAGGACAATAACTCAATCTAACAACAAAGAGACCCAGGGAAAATACAGGAGGCTAGGAGGAAGCCAGGAGGAATGATGGACTTCATTTGTGTCAGCCAGAATTTGGTTGCCAATAAAAAAAGCCATTCTAGCTCATTTAAGCTTAAAGGGATTTAATATAACGAATCAGGTGCTTACAAAATGGTTAGAAAGTCTAAGGAAACAGGTTCCAGGCCAAGTTTCCAGGAGTGGTTGTCACCCATGCCAACCAAGGTAGCTACTGCTTGTGCTGTGGTCAGAAAATGGAGGAATGAGGGGCAAGCTGGGGAGTAAGGATGTGGCAGCCCCGACTGCTGGGTCCAGGCACACTGACTCTGTCTGGATCTGTGTCATTGAAATGGGTGTCCTTGGCACCCACAAAAGTAGGCATCTGACCCTGGGGCCTCTGCTACATTGCCATAGAAAAACCAGGGCCTCCATACATTGCCATAGAAAAACCAGGGCCTCCACATCCCTGCTTGCTAGTGGAAACAGCAGACATGCCACCTCTGTCTCGCTTCTGTCTTCCAAATGTGACATCCATATGTCTGCTAGGGCAGAGGCTGGGCCACATGTGGAATCTGAGGAAGTCTGGGAAATGGAGGCTTCGCTCTCTATCTTCCAGCCTGTCACAAAGGGGAGGCAGGGGCGCTGTGTGAGCCACGGATGATCTCTCTCACCATCACACTCAGGTTTAAGATTCCAGACTAGAGCAGAAGCTATCAGAGGCCAGAGCCTGATGTTAACTGTTTCAGAAGTCCCAGCACTTCACAAAGTGTCTGATGAACAGTAGAGGAAGGAAGGAAGGAAGGAAGGAGAGAAAGAAGGAAGGGAGGGAGGGAGGGAGAGAAGAAGAAAGGAAGGAAGGAAGGAAGGAAGGAAAGTGCTCAGGACTAAGTCTGGGAGAATCTACAGGTGGAAAACACTGGGAAGTTCAGTTTTGACAGTATTTAAAACTTAAGATGAAATGAAGCAGGGACTGACACTAGGAACTCTTATTTCTTAGCAGCTTTTGGTTTCAGTCTGTTTCTCATTTCCATGATTGTAAACTTAATAGTTCAAATTCCTTATGTCTGGAAAAAATCAATTGTCCCCTAACTGGTGTCCTGCCCAATTTTTCCCCATTTTAGTCCATTCTACACACTGATCTCTGACTGGGTTTCCTAAAATAGTGGTCTTCAAACCTTTTACTTGCAAATACTTCCAAAAGAATTTTGTAAAGCTTTGTATCCTCTTGCACATTATTAAGCTGACATCTAAAACTTTTCATCCCAAGCTAAAATAGTTGCAAAGTATGTAACTTCGAGTGTATTGTAAATATTGTCTCTAAAAAATAATTATAGCACTTTAAAAAACATATCCAATAGAATCTAAATACCACATCAGCTATTTTTAAAAAATACACAAACATGCTGTTTTTTAATAATCAGAGATTTTGCATCTTTCCTTTTTCTCTTTGAAATCATACTTCTATTTTGCCTCTACCAAAAAAATGACATATTATTATTGAAAATCTTATGTCAATTATATTAATTATCATAACAAAAGGCATAAATGTCAAAATTATATTTTTTATGTCAGTGACCATAAAGCTGTATGTAAAAATTATTCTGGATTGAGTTATCATTTCTATTACTATTAGTATACTATTGATAAAAACAACATGAATATATTATAAATTTTGATAAGTAATTATTAAACAGAAAAACTTAAATTTTATTCTAAATGTATCTCTTAATGAGCTGGATGGGGACTGGCTGGTTTTGGTTAGGTCAAGTATCTAATTTTTGCTAAAAGTAGATCAGGTATCAATTTAACCATAATTATGTACTACTTACGACTAAAATGAGATAGGGTTCAACTTCAGTTTTATCTCCTCACCTTTTTGTGTTTTATTATTAATACAGATGTTGATAAAATTTTGTTCATGTAAATAAATAGGTGGGGAAAGAAGGAGTTTTATTACAGCAGTGCCCTTCATTCTTTGTACTCAGAATCATATGCCAAAAATCAAGGGAAACCTACACCAAAATTTGTTTTTAATGATCTATCAATTGACAACTCAATTGCAGATCTTCCTGCAATTTTATTAAAAGGAAAGTAGGAAACCATCTAATTGCAAAAGGATTTATTATTCATCCATTAGTGTGATTCCTGTCTTCAACACCAATATCAATACCTATACTGGTGGGTTACAGAGGTTTCTCCTGCAGGGTAATACACTATGGGAAGATTAGGGTGAGAGGGGGCCTTTCTTCTTTAAAATATGAGATAATGGGGGAGAGGTGTGTGAAAGAAGAAGTGAAAATGTTGTATCCTCAAGCACATCAGTTTTTGAAACTGTTTTTTCAGCTTTATTGATGTATAACTGACAAGCAAAATTGTAAGATACCTAAAGTGCACAAATGATGAATATACACATACATTGTGAAAGGATTCGTCCCACTGAGTTAATTAACACATCAATCACCTCATACACCTTGGCTATTGCGAGTAATGCTGCTGTGAACATGGGAGTAGATATCTCTTCAAGACAGTGATTCAGTTTCCTTCAGATATATAACCAGAAGCAGGATTTCTGGATTAATAGGGTAGTTCTATTTTTCATTTTTTGAGAAATCTTCATACTGCTTTCCATAGTGGCTGCACCAATTTACATTCCCACCAGCAGTGCACAAAGGATCCCTGTTCTCCACATCCTTGCCAACACTTATTATCTCTTGTCTTTTAGAGGACAGCCATTCTAACAGGTGTGAGGTGGTTTCTTATCGTGATTTTGATTTGCATTTCCCTGATGATTAGCGATGCTAAGCGCATTTTCATGTATCTGCTGGCCATTTGTATGTTTTCCTTGGAAAAATGTCTATTCAGATCCTTTGCCTATTTTTTAACTGAGTTATTTCCTTTTTTGTTCTTGGGTTGTATGAGTTCCTTGTATATTTTATGTATTAACTCTTCAAGAATAGGTGGTTTGCAAATATTTTCTCCCATGCCATAGATTGCTTTTTCACCTTATGATGGTTTTGCTGTGCAGAAGCTTTTTAGTTTGATGTCATCTCATTTCTTCATTTTTGCTTTTGTTGCCTTTACTTTTGATGTCAAATCGAAAAAATCATTGCCAAAACCAGTATCAAAGAGCTTACCCCTTATGGTTTCTTCCAGGAATTTTGTAGTCTCAGGTCTTATATTCAAGTCTTTTATCTACTTTAATCCACTTCAAGTTGATTTTTGTGTGTGATGTAAGATAAGTGTCCAGTTTTCTGACACCATTAATTAACAGTATTATCTTTGTTTTCTATGATCTTGTGGGTCTTCTGGCTGCAAGTCCCATTAGCTTTCAGAGCCAGCTGTTCTGAAAGCTAGACAAATGGGGGTCCTAACTGTTGGGGTGCTAAATATGGTATCCAAACCCTTCACTTCTCAGGGAAGCTGACAGTTGGGTGTTCAGTCCATTTTGTATGGCTCTGTGCCAGAGGTGAGGTTTATGGCAAGAAAATATCTCAGTATCTCGTGCCTGTTTCTTATTTGTCCAATATATAGGAGTTGCTTGGCTAGCTTCTGGATCTCTTTCAGTGGGAATTGCTCCAGGTACAGCTGTACTTTCAGTGCATCCATGGAAGGAGGGTAGCTAAGGAGCCTCTTAGGTTGCCATATTGGTCCTCTATCCAGAAATTATTTTTTCAGATCAGTTTCAAGGAGTGCAAAGAGTAACTAAATACCCAGAATCTGATTTCCTTAAAACTCTTTTTGGCCGACATCTCTCCTGTAAAGTACTTGTACCATAGTTTATGAACAGGTACAGTTGGAAGACTGCTATCCCAAAACAGCACAGCTTGCCTAAGTGGTATCTCCTTATTGGCATAAAATACTACAACTTAAGAAAAATTTTAAAAGTTGAGAGTGACTAATCATTTAAATATGTATATTTAAAAGAGCTCACTATGAAGTGACTTGACAATGGGAAACGTATGTGCAATGTCACCACTTCTAGAACTGACAGGTATTTTTGCAGTTATTATTTCTAACATTTTACCCAAAATGTAGGGTTTCTTTTTGCACAAGAAATTGTTGTTATATCAACAGAGCATTTTACAACTTGAGGAAATGTACTTCTAAGAAGAAAGGGGTGAGCAGGAGTGAGTGGTAGTTTATCGTTCTTGCTCCTGCTGTTCCATAGCCAAAAGAAAACTTCCTCTAAAGCTTAGCAGTCAGTCATTAACGAGTACTGGAGTCCTGTTCCCAGGCCTCACCTACAGAGATTCTGATGCGGAACTTCTGTGGTGGGGGCAGCACTCCAAGCAGGATTTGGGTGCAGGAGGTCTTTTGGTCACACTTTGGGAAACTGCCTAAATGGAAAGTGTCTTAGAAAATGTATAAATTGAAATTTGTAGAGGTGATTTATAAAATGAAAAGGTTAAGAACAAGGGGATATGCTAGTTTAGCTGGATTTGGAGCAAGGGAAACCACTACAAAAGGCACAAATGTTATTTGTTCAGGACTGACTTAAACAGTAAGAGTACAACCTTGTCTGTGCTAATTGTCCATCTCCAATGGCTCTCTGAGGGCTGAAGGTGAGCTCTGACTGGTGAGCTCGCCCTGTGCTCTGAAGTGTGTGGGCTCCCCCAGGGAAGAAGAGGACCCATCGAGTCACCTTACTATTCTCGTAGCAAAATACTTTATATGCTGGAAAAGGGCAGACGGTATCTCCTCTATAAGCTACTTTATAGGCTAAATAATTTGAATTAAAGAAAGATCTGATTTTAACATGATTTCTATTGTGCGAAGATGCCGGGAGTTCTTAAAAAATTTTTTTAAATAGGTGGAAGAGGGCACTATGAAGAGGTTGAATAGCTCAATAGAACTCAATACATTATAACAGAGAGGAAAATACCTCTACTTTTACATTTGATAATACTTATTCATTCATTAGTTCATAGTGCAATTGTGCTGTAAAATAAAAAGACAATGACGAGGTAAAATAAGAAATAGTGCACTCTTTGGGATAAAAGGTAGAATTTTTAAACAAACAACCCAATCCAAAAATGGGCAGGAGACCTAAATAAGCAATTCTCCAATGAAGACACACAAACGGCCAATAGGCACACGAAAAAATGCTCAATATCACTAATTATCAGAGAAATGCAAATCAAAACTACAATGAGGTATCACTTTACAGCAGTCAGAATGGCCATCATTCAAAATTCCACAAATGATAAATGCTAGATAGGGTGCAGAGAAAGGGGAACCCTCCTACAGTGTTGGTGGGAATGTAGTTTGGTGCAGCTGTTATGGAAAATAGTATGGAGATTCCTCAAAAGACTTTGAATAGACTTACCACATGATCCAGCAATCCTACTCTTGGGCATACATCCAGTGGGAACCCTAATTCAAAAAGATACATGCACCTTGATGTTCATAGCAGCACTACTTACAATTGCCAAGACATGGAAACAACCTAAATCTCCATCCACAGATGACTGGATAAAGAAGCTGTGGTATATTTATACAATGGAATACTACTCAGCCATAAAAAATAATAAAATAATGTCATTTGCAGCAACACTGATGAACCTGGAGAAT